CAAATTCATTATTATACCCACCTAAGAGTGCCATTTTCTCCTTTGTCTAGGCTAGTGAAACGACTGTACAAGCGAGTGATTTGACTGTGGGAGACTGAAGGAAAAAAAAGGAAAGAAGAAACACAAATTAGCATGTCAACGATTCCTCAGAGGAACAGACCTCATTATACTGAGCCACTCTGTTGCCAGAAGCTGTATATAAAAAAAAGATTATACAAAAGAAGTTACAGTGGTTGCATATGACCATCAGTGCTTTAGGGGCTTCATGAGTTGTAAATTGCAGAAGAATCCACAGGTCTTTCTTAAAAAAGTTGTCTTAACTCTGCCTTTTACCTATTTATATTTTTTGTCCTGGTTATCCAATTCAGTAAACACCACTTAAAAAGAAAAAAATACTTGATTCACAGTTCGCCTGTTATTCTCTTAATTCCTTTATGGGTAGAAATAAACTGGACACAGCCTCCACCAACCATATCTACTTCATGCATGACATCACAGACCCCTGCTGTATTATCTTTCATTCTTTTTTGCTTATCTCTACTCCTGATAAGCTAGAGATGGAAAGTATATTCAGCCTCTCTGCATCTGGAAAGTGGGCAGACTTTACACCTGATCACTTTTCTTCCTTTACAGGATTACCTGAATCTAAATAGCCTGTTCATTTTGGGGTTCACTAAAGTAATTTCCAGGCTTCTAGGACATTGAGTTAAAAATTGAAGTCTATTGCTAAAAGGTCCAGGAGAGAGCTAGGACACAAAGCAAGCAGAAAGTTATTCTAGACCTTTTTAAACCTGCAATTTGAAACAAAAGTTCCATATCAAGAATTAAGTTTCGCATCATGGTGTCAACACTGCCAAAACATTAGACAACCTGAGATACCTGACAGTCCATGATGGGATTGGGTTGAGCCTATCTAAAATAGCAATTCCTTTAACACTGAAAGAATGCTTTTTAAACCCTCTTCAGATGAAGTTACTAAATACATTAAGTAAGACTGAATTTAATGTTAATATTTACTCAGTAGAAGTGTGATTTTCTACAAAGTTAAAGTAGGACTTGGTGTCACATTCAGATTCAACTGTTTTAAAAGCCTTCACCAGCACATACACAATGCTTTTGTTACTTGCTAAAACATTTGGGAACAGGTTGCACAGCAGTTGCCTGATCTGTGAAACTTTTTTTTTCAGCTTTGTTCTTTCTCCAGGGTATTTATTTAGGTACAACCATTTCCTCCTTTAGGATGACCTGCCAGCAACTATTTTTTCCTTGTCTCCTCGGCAACTTTCATTCTTTGCATAGGGTTGGGCAACTTGCTCAGTTCCACCTAAGGCAACTTCTCTACAAGCAGACTGGGCTGCTTGCTCAATTTCAACTTAAGCAACACAGACATAGAAAGCAGACAGCACTATTTTAAAGATTTTTAATTTCTGCATTTCTGATTTAGTGTTTTAGATATGACATGTAATAACAACAACTGGTGATGAAAGAATAACAGCCTGGAACAAAATCTCTGTTAAGAAGCCCTGTACTCCCACCTCTCCCTGGAAATAAAGGGGATGATAAGAAATTCTACTCAGCTACCATTTCCAAACTAATGTCAACAACTCAACTTTTGTAACACCTCCATACCCGTCAAGAAAAGGAGCTGCACCCTCTATTTTTCTTCTGTTAAACTCAAGTAAACATATATTGATATACTTAGGAAATGTAGAAATATACAGCAGAAAAGTAATCAGCTGGTTTTGTTGCCACTCTGGTATGAGCAGTAGTTTATTATTAATCCTTAGGTAGGCTGCTTCAAAGCACGGGAACAAAGAATGCGAAGTAAATGGTTTGAAGGCTGCTACATTCCAACAGCTCTCTAAAAGCTTGCAACAGAATGCAGACAAGCAACATCTTGGACCTCTCATCTGTTTTTCAGAGTTGTTGCTAAAATACAAAAGCAATTAGGACTACTTGAAGGTTTCTCCAAACTCAAATTTCAAAATGTTTATATGCAAAGCAAACAATGTCATATACGACTTAAGTTGGTCATTTTCTGCTCAGCACCTGTTGCTGAGAACGTAATACAGTTTCTGTCACTAAGCAGGGGTTTTACAGGACACATTATTCCCTCTTTTTGGAAACATTACTTTTGCATATGTTTCTAAACTTACTATACTAGGCAGCATTTTTCACCACCATTAAAAAAAATAACATAGAACTTTAACCCAAACTTAGATTTCATTCAAGAGATTACATAGCACTGAACAGCTTTTAAAAGATTGTATTTCAAGTCCCTTAAAATAGAACTTTTTAATCTGTTCAGCTAAAGAACACGGTTTATCATTGTGGTTTATCACTCACACTAGCATCATTAGCTATTCAGTTCTGTGCTACATAAGATAAACAAGACAGAAGTTGTGTTTCCAATGCTGAAAACTAAATTAATTGCTCTGTTCAGTGCTTCATGCTTATCCCAGATGAACTGAAGAAGTCATATTTCACAGCAAGGAGGCCAAAAAAAGAATCCTTAGGAACACTGAGCAGAAGATCAATTAAAAATGAACATGAATTATTGCCAAATTGTTTCACACCTACAAAGTCCCTTTCTGAAACTCTTTAGTAAGTAAAGTATCATAAGCATCAAGTTTCTAAGAAACCACAGAATACTCATTAACTTACACTCTCCCTATGAACTTTGTTCCAGATAACCCAGCATCCTGGTGTTTTTTTCCCACCTTGTACCTTGCATAAATATCTGCACCTAAACAAAGCATATAACTAAGTGCTGAGAGCTTGTTGAAGTTTTCCATCTACTTCTAGATATTAACTAGAGCTGAGGGGTCTTATTGCTTAAGATACCTACATAGGCAGCCTAGTGGTATTTATTTAACTATCATGTAGGTAGTATTCTAGGAATAAAACACCACTGACAATAAATCAAATATTGGCATGAGGAAAACAGTAAAGCCATTTGGAAGAACATTCCACATTGGGGCTTGGTTTTTAAAGTATCTTTATAAAATGAGGTGAGGCTACATTTACTCTATGATCTTTGAGATTAAAAAGAAGAAAAAACCCAAGACAAACAAAACAGTTAAGTTCTTGCTGGATTAAGTAGACTTGGATATTCCTACTTGTTTATTACAGCCTTCCTGTAGAAGGTTCCCTTGACAGACGGAAAAAGGATCATGGAAACTATGTTAACTCACTCAGAGGCTCATTACACTGGCCAGTACTGCCTTAATTTCTCCCACTCCTTTTCTATAGCCACCTACTTTCTGCACAACAAAAACCTTTCACCTAAAACAAATATATAAAACTATTTCTATTGGGAACAAGAACAGATCAGCAAGCATAAGCAGGAGAAAAACACGATCTGGGAAGACCTTGTTTGCTTCTTGGAGGAAGCAAACAGCCAAGCATTATGTAATGACTTCCCCTCTTCAACTCGTTAGGAGGGTACCCTCTATTTATTATCTGTCTTTGCTAGAATTCTCAGACAGGCAATCATTCTATCAGCCAAAACAACAACCCTGAGTTTACCTTTTCTAAGGTAGTTTATGGTAAATAACTCAACCAAATACCATAGGGTAAAGTAGCAGCTTGAATAACACTCTCTCAACTGCCGACTAGTTCAGAAATCCTCACTTTTCTTGCGTTAACCACGTTCCGAATGTCACTCGGCATTGATCCCGAATATCTTTTTTTTAAGGCAACTTTAGCGGTAGCTTATGAAACAACATTTAGAAAAAAATTACTGTACAACGAGAGCTTTTTCGGGCTAAAAACGGCTTCTGGACAGAAACGGCTGCGCAGACGGCTCTTCAAAGCCCAACGAGTTAACCCCGCAGGTACCACGGGCACCGGCTCCTCTCCCTTCCCGCCCGGCTCCCGCT